AAGTGAAACAGGGTTGCATGAGTAGACCGCACAGTAACAGATTTTGCTCGCGTAATAATTTTTTAAAAATGGAATGAAACGACAGTATAATATCGCACTAAATGAAAATTGTCTCGTAGTGTATGTCAACAGCTCTGCACTTACTTTTCATCTGCGTGCTGTTCGGAGGCGACTAGTTTCTGGCCGATCGGTCCGATCTTGGCTAGCCTCGTCGTTAGCTGCTCCAACTCGCTTACTGCACCTGCTGTGCCTTTATTCTTCTCATTTACCAAGATCCTTGCAGAGAGAGCTAAGCCGGTGAGTTCACGTGTGACTTCACACGCTTTCATTGCACCAAAACCAGACAGATCAAATGTAAGACAACGTACAGTTAGCAAGTACTGCAAGTTGTGTACTAAACGTCAAATATTTTGCAGGTTGAAATCTATCAGTTTTTGCTGTAGGTATCATAGTAAACGTAGCAATCACATAGCCTAATTTATTATAACAACTAACAGTATTCAACAGCTTTTTCCAATATTTTTACGCAATGGTTAAGTGAATACTCGATGGCATTCCATAATATACTAAGTAACACTTTTTAGCACACAAAAATTGCTACAAATACTGATAAAGACGCTTGGTATCTGGCACAAATGAAAGAACCTATAATAAACATGGAAGTAGACCCCCCACCACCCACTAACGAAACCTAACCCTATACGCAGGTCGATAAGATGCCTGCGATCGTATCGAGAGCTTCGCGGGCCGCCAGCGCCACCTACGATCGCGCTTACACGGTCGCCAGCCGCCACCTACGCTCTCGCAGTGCAGCCCATCGCGTCTTCTTTGTCGAAGCGAGCTGCTGCAGCGTTGTCTCCGTTCTCTTCTCTGAGCTCGCCGTCGCGCGGCGTCACCGCGTCCGTTGCTGCGCTCTGCAGCTCGCGTCCGAGCCGCTTCATCTCGCGCTGCATCTCGACGAATCTGCACGTTGGCAGATCGCGATCGTCGCTGTCCCTTCGCTCGAGCCGTGGTCGCAGGCGCGCGCATCTCCTTCTCGTGCGGACTTGCTCTCGCGCTGTCCAGCCGCGCGCTCTCCTCCTCGCAGCGCTGGTTGTCGCGCGCACCTCCTCCAGCCGCCGGCGTCTGCGGCCTTCAGCGACTCGACTCAGCTTCAGCAGCTGCTTGTTTCTCGTCGCAGCTCCCCGGCCTCGGTGCGCGCGTCCTCGCCGGCCGCGACGCGCGTCCAGCCGCCCTCTGGAGACGCACAGCAGCAGCGTCCGGCGTCGACGAGCCGCGGTCTCGGCGCGCGCTCGCGCCTCTGCCGGCTCGCAGCGAGCGTCAGACTCCGCGCGCAGACGCTCGCTGTCGGCCGGCGGCGAGTTGCCCGCGCGTCCTCTGCCCGCCCGCGCGCAGGCCGGCCGCCATCCGCGGGCCGCACCGCCGCGCCTCAGCCGCGCGACCCGACCACCGCTCGCTCGCGGCTCGCGGCCCCCGCTGTCGCCGCTGCGCCGCCTCGCCCGCTGCCAGGGCGTCGGTGCGCGTCCACCCCCGCGCGCAAGCGGTTCGCCCACCACCTTCGCGCAGGCTTGCGGTTGATCACCTCGGGTGGCGGCCCGGCTCCCGCTCGCACTTCTCGGCGGCCTCCCGACCGGCGGCGCCCTCCTTCCCCAGCGCTCGCCACTCGCGGCCTCAAACTCGAACGCCGCGGCCGCGGGCGAGCGCGTCGGCCGCGTCGCCGCAGCGACGCTCCAGCAGCTCGCACTCGTACTCGGCGTGGGACGCGCGCGCCGACAGCTCCGCGGCGCCCTCGTGCAGCCTCTTGTTCTCGCGCTCGACGTCGGCGAGCCGCGTGTCGGCGTTCTGCTTGTTGCGCGTGCGCAGCGCGTCGACGGTGTGCGTGAGGCGCGCGCACTCGCGCTCGTGCTCCTCGCGCTGCCGCTGCATGCTCTCACGCGCCGTCGCGAGCGCTCGCGTCGCCTCGTCGTGCTGCTTGCCGACCTCCTGCGTCTGCTGCTCCAGCGCCAGCTGCGCCCGCGTGCCCTCGCTCACCGTCTCCTGCGAGAAACGAAGAGAAAAGAGAAAGTCAAGCAAAAAGTCAGAAAAAGAAAGTCAATCAAAGAACGGTAGTTCTTAGCCGCTTGGTTTTAGAACGGTAGCCGCTTGGTTTTAGAACGGTAGCCTTTAGTTTTAGAACGGTAGCCGCTTAGTTTTAGAACAGTAGTCTTTAGTGTTAGGAAGGTAGCCTTTAGTTTTAGAACAGTAGCCGCTTAGTTTTAGAACGGTAGCCTTTAGTGTTAGGAAGGTAGCCTTCAGTTTTAGAATTGTAGCTGCTTAGTTTTAGAACGGTAGCCTTTAGTGTTAGGAAGGTAGCCTTCAGTTTTAGAATGGTAGCCGCTTAGTTTGCCGTGGGCGTGCGTCGAGATTCGACGCGCCGCTTTCAATAATTTACCGAGGAGTATATGTTTGCTGTCTGTGTTTATTAGGAGACTGTTTCCCCTTGCGTTCATCATGGACCGAAGCAAGTGCCCTCGAAACTTGGAGCATATATGATTGATTTTGATATTGATATGATTGCAGTTGCATTCCCCAATGCGACGCTGCCAAAACTGGCAATCTGTTAAAGAATTCCCGCGTGGATCTGACGATAACATGATCAGTGAAGTGTCTCTCGGAAGCACATCTGCTACATCTGCTACACTCCCTCTATTCACATACATTATTACAAACACCGCAAAACAAAGTTTTTATAGTCACTTCTCAAAACTTCTACAGGACTTACCTGAACACACACTGCCACTATACATTGCCTCCATTGCGACAGCTAATTCTTGGATAAGCCAAGAGAAGTAGCGGAATATTCCAGAGCACCGCACGCCTGCGCGTGGACGCATAGCGCCACCGTCCAGAGCGATAGACTGTACTATGAGACATAGACTGCCGCCGCGCACCTGCAGCTTCTCAAGCTTCTCGCTGAGCCGTTTGTTCTCGCTGTCCACAGCTCGAGCGCGCGGGGCTTCGTCTCGACGGCGGCGCCTGTCTGGGCGTCCTCAGTGCCTGCTGCAGCCTCTTGTTTTCCAGCTGCAGCCGCAAGATGGCGCCCTCGCCGACTCCGAGCTGCCTCCGAGAGGGAGTTCGCTGGCGGAGTAACAAAAGCGATTACGACACGCAGCGGTGGATGCCGTCGGCTGGCAAACTTGCTGAGAGAGTGTGTGAGATGAGACCCACACTCCGCAAGTACCGGGGTCAACGAAATTAATCAAAAACAAAATTAGTCTTAACATCACTTTTTCTTGTAGACTGCACCGCTATCCACTAGTTGAAGTGAGAAATTCGTACTTCGGCCATGTTTCTGTCAATGGTCTACGAGAAGAATTTGTAAAATTGAAAATTTAAGGCTAACATTAAGACTAATTTTGTTGCTGGCAACCGCGCCTCAGCTCGTTAAAGTTGTGGCTGCGAGCTACCTAACAGTATAAACGATTAAAAGAGAATGACATTCAAAAAAACACGAGAAACCAAAGAATCACCGAACGAGAAATGCGAACGAATAATTGACGACACAAATAAGGAGTGTTTATAAAAGAACGAAATAGACAAGAATTGCATTCGAGTAAAGACGGTTGTGACATGCGAGGTGTGGGTGGTCGGTCGCACGCGCGACTTTCCAACGAGCAGCAAATTGAAGCGAGGAAATTACTGAATTGTTTCACGGTCCAGGAAGAATTCCATCTCCGCGCAGAAACTAGCATTCGCTACAGGAAACAACATGCAGGAAAAGGCGTGTGATTAAATCGCGTGGCACGTTAACGGTTGCGTGGACGCGCGACCCGCTGCACACGGAAAAACAGATTTACAGCATGCTTGAAATCTCCGACAGATAGCTAAATCATGCTGCCTCTGATGTGTAAGCCAACCAATACTCTTAACTACATCTCTATCCCAGGCCTCATCTATATTAGATTTTACCTTCATATGAAGGCATTCCTTGACACTCAGCTACGAACAAACAAGCCGAGAGAAAAAATGCAAACATTACGCTAACGATAACAACACCAAGTTAAGAATGAATACTGCAGCTAACCAAAACAACTACTAGATTACATCATCGAGTAAAACCAGCTAAATCTATCTGCTACTCTCAGATCTACACTGCACACACTCACAAGCTCTAGACATCTTATTAGCAGTCGCACAAAGTCAAGTTCAAAAGATGCATGCAACGATCTAAGAAGAGTTTCGTGCAGGAGGCCACGATAAAGCTGCTGCATAGACGCTCCGCAGACCTACTGGAATGAGTAGCATGTACACCTCTCTCACACCTCCAGAGAAGTGAGGTGTGCATGCCCTCCCTCTTACTTACAGAGATGCCGGCGTGTGACCGCCCCTTAGATACCTGCCAGAGATGTGGCGTGCTCCTACTCTCACGTACCAGCAGAGATACCGCATGCTTACGGCCTCTCACGTACCTGCAGAGATGCGCCGAGCGTCGTCCAGTCAGCTTCCGAGTTCGCCGACTCGTTGATCGAGTTTGTCTTGTCGAAGTGAAGCTGTATGTTCTGCGCGTCAGCCGCTCCAGCCGATCCTTGTCGCCTCACGCTCCTGCAGCCATAATACATGCAGCATTAGCACCAGTGATGGTCAGTACGTGGGGGTCAGTGATGAGGTCAGTGGTGATGTCGGTACGTAGGGTCATTGATGAGGTCAGTGGTGATGTCGGTACATAGGGGTCATTGATGAGGTCAGTGGTGATGTCAGTACGTAGGGGTCATTGATGAGGTCAGTGGTGATGTCAGTACGTAGGGGTCATTGATGATGTCAGTGGTGATGTCAATGTGTGGAGGTCAGTGACTATGCCAGTGGATGGAGTTAGCGCACAGAGGTCAGTAGTGATGTCAATGCACTGGGTCAGCAGATTACCATTTGTGACATCCTGACTTCGATCATCACTACACACAACTCGGCAAACTGTACACACTAACGTTGCTCGCTCGCAGCAGTCACTCGGCGGCGCCACCTACCTCCTCGAGTTCGCTGATCTGCGCCTTGCACTTCATGAGGTCGTTCTCAAGGTCGATGATCGTCTCGACGCGCTTGTGGCTCGCGCTCAGCTGGTCCTCCAGCATGTGCTTCGTCTCCAGCAGAATGTGGTTGTCCTCCCTCACCTCCTGCACGCGATGGAAACACGGAGAGCGGTTGTCACTATGCGAGAACACACGGCGACGCGAGAACACGCGACGACGCGAGAACACGCGACGACGCGAGAACACGCGACGACGCAAGAACACATGATGACGCGAGAACACGTGACGACGCGAGAACACATGATGATGCGAAAACACGTGATGACGCGAGAACACATCACTACGTGAGAACACATGATGATGCGAAAACACGTAGCAACGAAGCGAGAACACGTGACGCAGGCGAGACAACGTGACGTACGCGAGAACACGTGACGACGTGAGAACACGCGATGATGCGAGACCAACTCAATGCGATTGGGTGGCGCCAGATGCGAGGGAACATGTGACCTTTGTGAACATGCCACCTTTCTATTGATATAGGATAACGTATAAAAAAAGTGCAATCAGGTTCGAGCATGCCGGAGTGATTAGCGGTGTGGCGACGCCCTGTAATTTAAGCATACCTCGAATCTCGCTTTGAAGAATTCCATCTCATTGAGTTTATCCTTGAACCTGAGCAGCTCTGCTTCCAGCTTCTCTACCTTGCTCGCCTGCAGGTATTAATAGCAATCATAATCGCATTCTCCACTAATGGAATGAACAATCGCAATTCATATTAATTCCAGACAGTTAAGAGCGAGATGATATTAGTTCGCGACCACATTAGTTATGATATACAAATGCATAATATGTACCTACGTTAAAAGTGTGTCGATTAATCAAGTTTCTACAGTTAGTAAGGATAATACAAAGAAACATAATGCCAACATATGAGCCATATCAATGGTTAATGTATGGGCTTTATTTCACAAATAGCTTTAGCTAATAGAGTGCCAGAAAATTCCACCTTCTCCCGCACAACGTCCAATTCATCTCTGTAGGCTCGTGCTGATCGCGCGTCCTGGATTAACTCCAAATTCTATTTAAAAAACACACACAAAGACTACACATTAAAAACCTTCTGCATATGAACCCACATAAATGTATAATTATAGATAAGTTTGTAATACTATGTAGGCAAAATGTAGAAATACAAACGTTATTACATTATTATATAAATGTTAATAACTGCGTAAAATATATAGTACCAACAAAAGATCGTTTTAGGCATACCCAATCAATTCACTGGGATCCTTTTTATTATCCCTCAGCATAAAAATCAATATTGATAGCAAACAAGCCCAGTATAATTTAAAACCGGCTCGTCCCTGGAGGCGCCATTCAATTCTACCTACACGCTAATATGACGAAGTAATTTCCTGTACTGATTGCACCTACTAGCAAGCAGACTGACTCACCACACTGCACACATGTCAATAAAACAGAGAAATCAATACGCTACTGCCCGAAGAGTGAAATCTCTACTATTTAAATTGCAAAAGTGGGAGACAAAATTTAATTGAATTGTGTACTGTTATTGTCTGTACCATCGTCTTGTTGTAGTATTGTCTCAATGTTTCATTCACTAATGTTCGATATAAATACAAACAATTCCACAAATTTGTGGTATTATCTATGTAACCAGCCTGCACTCACAACATATGCTGCTGTTGCTTAAACTAACCTAACCTCAAACATACATATATGAGCAAAATGTAAACATTGCATGTCTCTGTTATTTGTTGCTATGGACCTGATAAAACTTGGTGAACACTCACCTCTTGTTTTAATTTCGTAGAGAGTGCTTTTGAAAGATCCAGTTCCTCCTGTAATTCTGAGCACAATTCAATTTTCTCCTCTCTATAAAAAAAAGCATTTCAAATATTGCAAAGTTCCTATAAATATCTATAAATATGTAAATTCTATACAAATCATCAAACTACAGTACTAATAAGAGATATGTCCAAAGCGGTATCCGATATTCTCCCATACAACCATACTATTGAGTAATGTGTGTTAGTAGTATCTAGTACAACAACCAGCATACAATAGATAGCACACACTGTAGGTCTTTATTAGGTAGGAGGGCAAGAAAACGTTTTCGGAAAGGAGCAAAAATTCCTGGATGTCACAGAGAATTTTCAGCCCGGGGGCTTTTCGCCATTTTGCTAAAAGAACAACAAAATAAACGAGACACAATGCACGACTTTTGTTCACAGTGGACCTGTTTTGACAGAAAGATGGTTAGCGAAAACAGCCGTCAAAGCACGTTTAGTAACGTGTCCGCGCATGTCCGACACACAAGCGCACGCACGCCCACCCGATGTTGCCACGGCGGCTCTGCTAACAAACAAGTTTCCCGGTACGGGACCGAACTAATCGGCCGAAAGCCTACCGCCGCATCCACGTTCTGCACGGCACCGCCGTGGTCGTGCAAGGTGGTCGTGCAGTTTTTCAGCAAATTTAAGTTTTTCCCAGTTTTTTCCGTGAGTTTTTTCAGCGGACTGTAACAACTTACAGCTCCTGCCGCAGTCGGCGCTGCTTCGCCTTGCTGTCGGCGAGCTCGACGGCGAGGTGGTGCGAGTCCTCCTTGCTGCCGGGGTGGATCGGGGGCGTCATTAGCTTCTCCGCGCACAGAGTCAGCTCGAGAATTTGCTGCGGACACAAAAATTATTCGCTGCAATTGACCTACGTTTGCCTTCGAATGACTCGACTCGCAGCTCTGGTCAATTATTGTTGTATGTGTAATGTATTATGGGTAAAAGTAAAAGTATTATGGGTAAGACGTTCTAAAAGATGATGCGGCGGCAATTTGGCGCGAATAAAATAGGTATATACTTGTCTAGCTTTACCGACCTAGGACCAATATATACGGTAATCACGGGTACTTTGCATAAATTGAAAAGTTTTTCCCACGCACTAGCCATTTCCCTTGGCCAACTCCCAACTACCAAGTGACTGAATGAAACTGCTGACTCGATGGGTATCAAATACACACGCGGGCGATAAAACAAGATTAGACACACGTGGCATAAACCGTGTGTGGTCCCGAGTTCGTGTACGCCACACAGACACGAACTCACACACAGACACAAGTGGTGCTGAAACGTCATCAGCACTAAACGGAGGGTATACCACTATCGGCCAAAAACTGAATGCAGTAAAGCGCTGGAAGGGGAAGGACAGCATTCTATCACACGCTCCGTACGACACATGGACGGGCGACGATGCAGCTGTTAGCAAAGCTGTTAGCAACAACACAGTGAGCGATGAGGCCAGCAAAGCTGACGGTGGTAGCAGCAGCAGGGTTGCTGTCCCTGCAGCTAATGCTGCGAACAGCCGGTGAGGGCGTTTACCTGCTGAAAGTCGTCCCGCTCTCGCACTAGTCGCCGACACAGGCCGTACAGTGACTTGTACATGAGCTCCTGTTGGTCCTGTGGGAACTCTCCCAGCTCCTGCCACTCCTGCGTGAGCAAGTTCTCTGTGTTGTCCGTCACCTGTGAGGGGTGGACACGGCCGGTGAGAAGAGATGGACATGATGACATGATGGTTTGCGAGCGAACGTTGTTCCCCCACAATAATTACGAATTTTTTATTTTAATACGCATGGGTGGAATCCCAAAACAATAATAGACGACATTGAAAAGTAACCGTCAAAGATATTGCTTATAATCGTTTTGTATCTATATATCTATGAAGTCAAACGTTTAACTCGGCCACCGTATAATTGCAACCATAAAAAAAACTCATCAGAACATAGCACTTTACTGTCATGTAATAAACAAGTACACATACACATGTTCTGGGAATATATTGTGAATTTCTCATTTCCACTGTGAATGTAATGAACCATACATCCCACCAAAACTAAAGTAAACCCATAATTGCAGACTGGTTCTGAAATCATCTTTCAGAACAAGGAAGTTTGGACATTTAATAACTTTTAATAGACAAATTAGGCAAATGGGCGATTAAAGTGCATGACGTCACGATGTCAACTGCAACAGTTTAACATCTGTGCACGCGCATTTCTTAATTTCTCAAGACGTTCACATCCAAATGCCATGCCTACTGGCGATTTCCCACGCACGGCGTTTTGTAAAACGACCAGTTAAATTACTGTGTGCATGTTCATGAAGGAAATCGACTTTGCCTTGATTTATGAAAGTGGGCACAGGTTTTATTTGCTTGCGAGCATCGTGACGTGATTGAGAAATGAAGTGTCAACAGTGTGATCTGACAGCCTGAGGCGGATAACCGGCTGTACATATATATGCAACTACGTGCCAATGTTTACACCGTTTATAACTACCAACAGCGACTGGTATTGTATCTGTGCCAATTCCCTGATTGACAAAGCATCGGCGTAATTCAAACTGCTATTCTGAACGGCAATTTAGATAGCTAATCAAAGCATAAATTAAATGTCACGACAATATAATGCAACATGCATTGCCTGTCAGTGGTAAATTATGCATACCGCGAGAAAATGCTTACTCTTTTTCGTATATTAACTCTCCATATATCCAGAGAGACATGATACAAGATTGCGTGGCACAGCTTTGCTGTTGATCCTGAGCGCTGCGCGCGGATGAGACGCGCAGTTCCGCGGGATATGCGCACGCGACCGCGGGGATGTTCAAGTATGAAGCGCTGTCCGCAGTGGAGACGTGCGCCAAATTCGAGGCCCGGCGCACGTCTCCACAGCGGTCAGCGGATGGTCTGTAGTTTTAGAAGATAACAATGAAGACTTTGTTCTAAATAAGAACTATCGGCGGCTAAATAAGAGCAATATACAGACTTTTGCATTTCTTGTCTAGTCAGTCAAAGGGCTTGTTGGGGGTCCACTATGCAGAGCTTCCAATTGAAATGGCCCATGAAATTGTTAAGTGGAATTGTGTTTTTCGGAACCCCAAAGAAAATGTCTCCCTCTTACATGCACCCCCTCCCTGATCAATCACGCATTCAGGCGTAAACAATAACAGAGATGAAATTGTGTTGAGTTTATGGCTCTTGACGCACGTGCATTGACGTACAAGACTGATGAAACACAGGCACTAATGGAACGTCTCAATAAAAATAAATCTTCACACAATTTTTCACAATGATCAACCGCCGCCTGTGTGTAAAATAGGTGAACGTATGTCAAACATATATGGTTAGTACTTACTGTGACATATTCGTGACTAACTGACACCACTAAATTGGTAAAATGTTCAATGCACCTTAAGAAGTTCTGAGAACTTACGAGGTTATCATCGCGGAACTCCCGACACCGCCCATCCTAATGTCACAAAGCTATATGTAAACAAACACGCGTGTTGCAAGGGTGCGTGCCTCCAATATCCATTTCGAGGCCCGCTAAGCCAAGCATAAAGCGTGCGGGCAAGACGTCACACACATAGACGTCAAACACAGCTACGTTCATTGGCTAAAACAATCGAGTAGCGTGGTTAGGGATTTTCGGAATTATTTAATTTTAAGAAAAATTGCAATGTTCAATGATTGACGCACTCGTTCACTTCCGAAAGCGGGTAAAAATGCCTAATTTTTCCACTTCGGTGCGAAATGCATCGGCCGGGCCTTTTATTATTTACGAAAAGCAAACAGTCTCGCCAAACACCTACACGCAGTAATGGGTCACGTCATTGACGCCCCATTCATGCCCATCAACGAAGAAGGCGGGGCTTATTCTGATTACGGAAATGCGAAAATGCAACAGAAGGACGTAGCGCAGTGCGCTAAACAGCGTGTTATTTTCGTATGTGTGCCAAACTCTATCGTAGGAAACCGTTTTAGCCTAGCAGAATGCCCTAGTTCCTGAGATCAGCGATATGGTGGTCCAATGGCTCCCCATATTTAAAATATAAAACTCTGGTGCGGCGTATAGGCTGTGATTGGAAGACACAAAGTGTCAATCCTCGGCGCGCCTCGGCATCATGGCCGCATCACGTCTAGATCTCTCATTACCTGTACTTTGTATCTCAGTCAACCCATTCCTCTCTTTGCTATCATTCTATATCCTCCTATATATCCTTATATCTCTAACATGTTGACATACTTGGCTTATCAGGCCTATAACCCCGAATTTCGTTTCCTTCTCTGCTCGCACTCACCTCCTCTTCACCACCCCCGTTTTAACCACCCGCTCTTGTGTGACTTACCATCTGTACTGCACGCACACTTCATCTCCCTATTTCCCCAGTAACTAGCCCCAGCAGCTAGGAACAGACCTCGCCACTCCCACGACCATCTCTTTCCCTCTCCCTCTCTTCCTTCCCCTTACACCGCCTCACCTGCTGGATGTAGGAGACCATCTCTTTCCCTCTCCCTCTCTTCCTTCCCCTTACACCGCCTCACCTGCAGGATGTAGGAGACCATCTCTTTCCCTCTCCCTCTCTTCCTTCCCCCGTACATCGCCTCACCTGCAGGATGTAGGAGACCATCTCTTTCCCTCTCCCTCTCTTCCTTCCCCTTACACCGCCTCACCGGCTGGATGTAGGAGACCATCTCTTTCCCTCTCCCTCTCTTCCTTCCCCCTTACATCGCCTAACCTGCAGGTTGTAGGGGACCATCTCTTTCCCTCTCCCTCTCTTCCTTCCCCCTTCCACCGCCTCACCTGCTGGATGAAAGAGACCATCGCGTGCTGTATGGACAGGTCGAGGTTCTGGATGTTGTCGATCATGTCCTCCTTCTTGTCGCACTGCACGGCGCAGCCGAGCACCAGCAGCAGCAGCCGCTCCAGCTCCTTGACTCCGGCCACTAGAGAACCAACGAGAGGGATTCAGTGAAGCCACTCAAGAGAAACCATGGCCCTGCTGCTGCCGCGCGTCAATTAGCAGGCAGGTGGCATACTTTGCAAGAAATCACAGCCTCGCTCCACTACTCTCACAAGTGTCGCCCAATACTAGGTAGACAAACGTAAAGCTCTACCAGTGTAGCCCCTTTCGCTGTCGTTACAGGGACTCCTTGTAGAGGGAGATAAGGGGCTACACGGGTAGAGCTAACGAACAACATGCTTTAGTACAGCTAAGCAATCGCTGCCTCACTCCACTGCTCTCGTGCGCTGCTCAGTGAACATGCAGCAGCCAATTACCCGATAGCAGTCTACGAGCGATAGAAAATAAATAACTGTAATTAATTTAGGAAATGCAGGCGCACACTGCACGTACTTCCAACCATCGCGTGATTAATTCAAAAGACGAATCACGTAACAGCCTTCAATATACATGTGCTGATGCAACTATTCAATTTTACATAATGCTTTGCTTGATAGCCGCGACAATTCCCGTCTACAAAGATCAAAAACTGTTGTAGCTGAAAGGAATGCCCTGCGATAGAAAGAAGCATCTGAAAACAACTTCAGCTCTTTTCTCATAGCTTCACCTTTTCATACAGTCTCTACATCACCTGATTATAACTACATAAAGATTACCCATCCTGTAAAATTAATAGTTTGGTTATAATGTACAAATTGCTGCACAAGCCAGCACCTAATTATATTGCAGACGTTTATTATATTTTTATTACTCAAAGAACACTTGTTAACAGCAGCCCAACAGGCACTATACAGAAACTGGATCTTTACTCTAGAGATAATAGCCACCTTAGATGCTGTGTTATGCATATTTTATAATGCGTGGTTACACACAAAAACTCTAGCTACCTCCAAACTCATTAAATTGCAATTCAAAATTCATAGCTAATCAGAAAGTAAAAACCTCACATCAATGAAATACTGTACGCGATTTTTCCTGCACAGCTTTCACTTAACTGCGTGCGTATACGCCCCTCGCGTGCGGCGCCGGCATATTTCGGACAGGTAGGAAGTGATTTACAGGTGTGGTATTAAGTCGCAGGCTATTTGAGCAGATCTCCTATCCTCCATCGCAATTATCTCTCAGTACAGCCGGAACCAATGATGTGAGATCTGTGAGCAGACCATACATACAACCGGCTCAGACACGCGCGCACGCACGTCCCACACGCGGAAGGACGATGGCAAACGGAAATCATTTGCAAGGAATTATGACTCAGTGTAATTTCTGCTTAACTTTTTTTTACCACTGCCAAGCCCCCTGAGAACACTCGTGTGCAATACACAGGTGGGATTTTTCATCCGAAAAGTCGCAGCTCAACTAATAACAGGGGAATATAGAGAAGCTGATCCTGACACAACCCCTTGGAGACACATGTGAACAATAAGATGCGCTCAGCTAGAATTTAAATTATGGGGTGCTCTACTGAGTATAGCATTTGAGGGAGAGCAGCCAACAATAACTGTCCGCGTGTAGACTGAAAGCACCTATTGGTTATTTACTAGCACTAGCAGGTCGGCAGTTTGTCCTGTATACAGGCGCGTAGCCAGGGGGGGGCGGTGGGGGCGGTC